AAAGTTGTTTACTTAGATTGTATAAAGAATTTCTAACCTCTAAAAAGTTAGGAGCCAACATGTAAGAACCATCTAAGTTTAAATGCTCCTGTCTCGGAAACTATTGAAACTATCTGAATAATCATTGAAAATTTTTCTATAGAACGCTTCCTGAATGTTTGGCGGTTAAGACTTTCTGAAAATTCCTAACCTTTAAAAAGTTAGAAGCAAAACTGTTGGCCAAAAGCAACATATCATGCTTAGCAGAAGTTTAAGCGCCTTGACTGTGAGAACCTTTTGGAAAAAGTACAACGAAAACTCTTTTGATGTCGAATATGTGAAAAAATACTTAACCTTTGAAAATTGAAAAGCCAAAATAGCAAAAAAGTGAAAAAGCCAAACTTTTGTAAAAATGCGTAAATAATGATGGGGACCTTTTCAACAGAGCGTCGAAGAATTCATTTTTGTTTGCATAGAGTTGATGAAAAATTCCTAACCTATAAAAAGTTAGAAGCAGAAATGTTAAAGTTTTAAAGCTGCCGATGTTGAAAACTTTCTACCTCGGAAACCGATAAAAATATTTAAATAGTCATTGGAACTGTTTCGATAGAGCGTGTCACAAACTATAACCGACTTTTGGAATTTGTTGAAAAAACCCAACCTTTAAAAAGTTAGGAGCCAAAGTTTCGGAAAACGACCCGTCGGACTTTAAGAGCTTTTATGTAGAAAACCGTAGATAAATTCTCAATAACTATTAGAACCTTTTTGATGGAGTCTGAAAAACTATTATCTTGTTCAGCCTATACAAAAATTCCTAACCTCCAAAATTTGCAAAAAAAAATTCCAAACTTGCCTCAAAAATGCATGAGATCGAATCGAAGTTAAAGTAGTAACTCTTAGTCACTAGAATGTTCCTAGGGAAACTGCAGATTTTACCGTTTTAAGCTCTAAAACTATAGAAGCAAAAATGTCAACATCTAAAATTGCCCTGAAGTTGAAAGCTTCTATCTCGGAAAAATGAAAGATATTTTAATAATTGTTAGGACTTTTTCATAGAGTGTTTCACCAGTTTAAATTTCATGATAAGTTTTAACCTTTAAAAAGTTGGAAGGAAAAATGACAAACTTTAAGAGACCATCGAAGTTTATAAGCTTTTATCTCAGACAGTTGAAAATATTGCAACTAAGACTTTTTCGAAAAAGTTGTTTACTTAGATTGTATAAAGAATTTCTAACCTCTAAAAAGTTAGGAGCCAACATGTAAGAACCATCTAAGTTTAAATGCTCCTGTCTCGGAAACTATTGAAACTATCTGAATAATCATTGAAAATTTTTCTATAGAACGCTTCCTGAATGTTTGGCGGTTAAGACTTTCTGAAAATTCCTAACCTTTAAAAAGTTAGAAGCAAAACTGTTGGCCAAAAGCAACATATCATGCTTAGCAGAAGTTTAAGCGCCTTGACTGTGAGAACCTTTTGGAAAAAGT